CTCTCTCTCTCTCTCTCTCTCTCTCATAAAGTCGGAGGACAGTCAGGTTACATACATATCAGCATAGATATAGAGAGACCAACTGCTGTGTCCCCATAGGAGAGTCGTTTTTGCTGCTGTTGCTGACGCTTCCTGACCCCTATCATCCACACACACATACACACACACATACATCCCCGTGCGCTCCCGACTATCGATTTAGTAGTTAGTCGTCGTAGTCGTTGTCGGTACCGATGCCCATAGCAAAGGGCGCAGCGGGTGTCACCCAGTAATGCAGTGTCGCCAGTGTGTGTGTGTGTGTGTGTGTGTGTGTGTGTGTGTGTGTGTGTGTGTGTATGTGGACCAGGATTTATGCCTAATATCGTATCCATATCACTATACAAGATAGATAGCCAGGTCCCCAGATATACACACTGTATATATATATATACACATTTACATACATATTCATAGACTATATACAGTATATATATATACTGTACAGTATTGTGTCTATGATTATTATATGCGCTACTAATGATGGGACGACTGTTTTAGATGGTCATCAAATAGTCAACAGTTTGCCAACAAAAATAATAATAATAATAATAAAAATATAAATATAAAGTTACCAAAAAAAAGTCACTAAAAAAGTGAAATATTTCATTGCTATACATATTTATTTTTTTGGATACATTTATCATCTCTCTCTCTCTCTCTCTCTCTCTCTCTCTCTCTCTCTCTCTCTCTCTCTCTCTCTCTCTCTCTCTCTCTCTCTCTCTCTCTCTCTCTCTCTATTTAACTCATTAATCGCTAACTAACTAAATCACTAAAAAACATCATTATATCATTTATATATAGTAGTATATATATACACATATACATTATGTGTATGATTAGCACTAATTAGCAATTAATTTAATAATATTTATGGCTAAATATTAATTTTTTAATGTTATTATCATTACTATATAATATTATTATTAAATAACAGTAAATAATAATATTTTTAAATTGCATTTTTTGTTTGTTTGTTTGGTTATAATATGTTTTCAAATATTATATATATATATATACAGTATATATAATTTATATACAGAATATTTTTTTGTACTAATATTACTAGCTATAGGTAAACATATTTTATTTTTATTTTATTTTTATTTTATTTTTATTATTAATTACATATTAATATGATATATATATATATAAGATTATTATTTTTAACTAGTTAAATTATATTAAATTATAAAATCAATTAGTTGTATAAATTATATTGAAACAAAACAAAAAACAATAATAATACTATAGTTTATATAATACAATATATACTGTATATATATTATATGCATAATAATTAAATGAATCCGAAATTTAGCAAATAATTTAATTTTTTCTCATAAAATAAATTATGAAATTTATATTTATTTATTTAATTAATTTAATTAATTCAACATTATTAATAATATTGAAAACAAAATACAAATATTTAAACAAAATAAAAACTTTATTATATATATATAATTAAAAAATTTTTATATAAATTAATTTAAATAAATTATAACCACAAAAAAAACTTGATATACAGTTTATATAATATAATACTAAGTCTAGTGCGCCGACTGTTGGCCTGATATGCAAATGTTTGGCCCAATTCATAGCATTTAGTTAGTATAGCAATCGGGGGGTTGGGGGTTGGGTTTGGACGTACTGTTTGATTTGATCCAATGATTTTAATGATCAATTGTTGTCCCAATCAAATTGATCACTCATTTTGTTTGTTTGTTAGTTTTTAAACAAAAAAAATATATTATACATTTATTTTTATTTATTTTTTGCAAAATTTGTATAAATTTATTTAATATTTATTTAAGTATCAAATAGTTTATCTGTTTATAATTTTTACAATCAATCAACAAAAAATAATTAAATCAAAATTATATATATATATATATATATATATACAGTAATAAAAAAATATATATATAATTATATCAAACTTAATCATTATTTTAAAATTTATTCATTAATTGTTTTCAAAAAATTTGTATTTTTTGAGTATTTTTTTATATTGTCTTTAATGGGGTTGGGGTTGTAGTTATGGTTGTAGTTGTGGTTGGGGTGGGTTAGGTTAGGTTGGAGGTAAACTTGGACACAGGGATGTTATGTTGTTCAGGGAAATTATCTTGATTGAGGTTATGTTAGGTTAGGGTGGGTTAAGCTGTTGGGTGGGGGGTTTAACTGTTGGGTTGGGAGGGGGGTTCAGAGGTTGTAAATAACGTAATATTTGATTGAGAAACATATGTGGATAGAAATGTTGCAATTCTTCCATAATATTTCTAAAATTATTGATTATGACTAACATTTTATTCTGTAAGTCAATCAATTGTTGTGACTGTTGTTGTTGTTGTTGTTGTTGTGACTGTTGTTCCTGTATTGACAGCACTAGTAGTCTATCGATTTGAGATAATAGTGCTCCAGTTAGTAGTCGCATATTAGCAACTCTATTATATATATAATA